TCTTACATTGGTTATTGAGAACTTAGAATATATTCTCCTACTTTTAAGTGTGGTTTATAAAAGCCTATTTATGAAACATTCATTTCAGTGTAAATTTCAATAATATTTAAGTTAAAACAGGCTTTAACAGGATAACCTCATTATAACTTAGTTCAAAATCCAACTGAAATTTTTAAAAACCTTATTTAATAAATATTACTGGATTTCATTAGCAAAGTGAGTGGAAATAGTGAAAATAAAGTCACTGTGGAGTCTACCTTGAGGCGAAGTCAGAACTACACGAACTATCCAACACGTTTCTTTTGGCAGCATTCAAGACAGGCATCGAAGGGGTATCTGTCACAGGTTCAGCTAGAATGAAAGATAAAAAGCTAAAACCTCAAAATTACATGTCTAACATGTTTATAATATTATTTCAAGAGTTATGGACAATAAATAAATGTTTAAAGTTGAATCTCCATTTCCCTTACTGCTTACAGAGAATTCATAGCATAAAGTTTCTTCTTAAATACTTTTCAAAGGGTTAAATTTTCTTTAAACTCTTCTTGAAGTATTCTGACTTAAAAAAAATTCATGTGATTAAGGATGATTAGGGGGAAAAAGCCTAAATACAGATATTTAAAATAAAAATAAATTTAAGTGTTTATTTTGTGAAAGCTTTCACAGAACTTCAGATTCATAAAGAAACAAAGATGACCATATGTAATAGCTGGTATTTTGGTAATCAATTAAAGAAAGATAAAATTTCGTTAGAGAATTAGAAAATAATTAAACCCACTGGTATAGTTTACATTTTTTGTAAGTAACTCTGGGGGAAGACTCAATTTACTTTTGGACTTTGAGATCTAATGCAACAGCTATTGGTATTTTGAATAGTGGGCTTCACAGATGAAATAACATAAGATTTTAACATACATTGCTTTCTGTTAACTGTAAAAATTATACAAATATTGGTTATGATAATTACTAAAGATATCTGACTTTACTTAATGGCCTAGGGAAGGATCTCAATTCTTTAATTTCTTTGGTGTATTATGGCTCAATATTCAGAATCTGCCTTAAGCAGCTTAGAGACACTAGAACAGACTAAATCCTCATAAATTTCACAGATTTTTGCCTGAGTTGCAGTGGGCTGCCTGGAGTAAGCTCACTGTACTCACTAGAATATGCCTCCCCCTTAGGTATATACTTTTTTCCTCCTTATCTCCTTTTTTTCCGGGGGGGGGGTTGGGGGTAGAGGTAATGGTAGTGGTTAAAAAATAACAAACTTGGGAGCAAAGGAAAGCCACTAGGTCGTTGGGATACACAATGATCATGTTTTGTGTTGTGTGGGGCAGCCACTGGTGGCACAAAGAACTGGTCCTATCTATAAGTTAGGCTGGAAAAAGGTTCTTTAGTGGGACTAAATTTATACTTTACGTTTTATAATAGAAGCCAATAGAAATTTTGTTTTGCTATGTGAAATTCTGCTTTAGAGAAAATTTAGGTAAATTTTTTGTTTTTTATATCTAGGGATCTTTATAGTAACCTC